TTCCTTTACTCTTTTTCTATCTGTGCCATGGCCTGGATAACCTCAACTGACCTGTCTTCAAATTCAGTGGTTATTTCTTCTGCCAGTTCAAGTCTGCTATTGAACCTCTCTAGTGAATATTGCACTTCAGTTATTGTACTTTTTAACTCCAGAATTTCTATTTACTTTTTATGTTATCTGTCTCTGTTAATATTCTCTATTCAGTGAGGCATTATTCTTTAATTCTTTAAAAATTTTATTCACTTATTTTAGAGAGACAGAGAATAAGAAAGGACAGGCAGGGGGAGTGGCAAAGGGAGAGGGAAAAGCAGGCTCTTCACTGAGCAGGGAGTCTGATGCAGGGCTTGATCCCAGGACCTTTGGATAATGACCTGAGCTGAAGGCAGATGCTTAACCGACTGAGCCACCCAGGAGCCGTTATACTTTAATTCTTTTTTTTTTTTTTTAATTTTATTTTTTATAAACATATAATATCTTTTTATCCCCAGGGGTACAGGTCTGTGAATTGCCAGGTTTACACACTTCACAGCACTCACCATAGCACATACCCTCCCCAATGTCCATAATCCCACCCCCCCCCAACCCCCCTCCCCCCATTAACCCTCAGTTTGTTTTGTGAGATTAAGAGTCACTTATGGTTTGTCTCCCTCCCAATCCCATCTTGTTTCATTTACTCTTCTCCTACCCCCTTAACCCACCATGTTGCATCTCCTCTCCCTCATATCAGGGAGATCATATGATAGTTGTCTTTCTCTGATTGACTTATTTCGCTAAGCATGATACCCTCTAGTTCCATCCACGTCGTCGCAAATGGCAAGATTTCATTTCTTTTGATGGCTGCATAGTATTCCATTGTGTATATATACCACATCTTCTTTATCCATTCGTCTGTTGATGGACATCTAGGTTCTTTCCATAGTTTGGCTATTGTAGACATTGCTGCTATAAACATTCGGGTGCACGTGCCCCTTCGGATCACTACGTTTGTATCTTTAGGGTAAATACCCAGCAGTGCAATTGCTGGGTCATAGGGTAGTTCTATTTTCAACATTTTGAGGAACCTCCATGCTGTTTTCCAGAGTGGTTGCACCAGCTTGCATTCCCACCAACAGTGTAGAAGGGTTCCCCTTTCTCCGCATCCTCGCCAGCATCTGTCATTTCCTGACTTGTTAATTTTAGCCATTCTGACTGGTGTGAGGTGATATCTCATTGTTGTTTTGATTTGTATTTCCCTGATGCCGAGTGATGTGGAGCATTTTTTCATGTGTCTGTTCGCCATCTGGATGTCTTCTTTGCAGAAATGTCTGTTCATGTCCTCTGCCCATTTCTTGATTGGATTATTTGTTCTTTGGGTGTTGAGTTTGCTAAGCTCTTTATAGATTTTGGACACTAGCCCTTTATCTGATATGTCATTTGCAAATATCTTCTCCCATTCTGTCAGTTGTCTTTTGGTTTTGTTGACTGTTTCCTTTGCTGTGCAAAAGCTCTTGATCTTGATGAAATCCCAATAGTTCATTTTTGCCCTTGCTTCCCTTGCCTTTGGCGATGTTCCTAGGAAGATGTTGCTGCGGCTGAGGTCGAAGAGGTTGCTGCCTGTGTTCTCCTCAAGGATTTTGATGGAGTCCTTTCTCACATTGAGATCCTTCATCCATTTTGAGTCTATTTTCGTGTGTGGTGTAAGGAAATGATCCAATTTCATTTTTCTGCCTGTGGCTGTCCAATTTTCCCAACACCATTTGTTGAAGAGGCTGTCTTTTTTCCATTGGACATTCTTTCCTGCTTTGTTGAAGATTAGTTGACCATAGAGTTGAGGGTCTATTTCTGGGCTCTCTATTCTGTTCCATTGATCTATGTGTCTGTTTTGGTGCCAGGACCATGCTGTCTTGATGATGACAGCTTTGTAATAGAGCTTGAAGTCCGGAATTGTGATGCTACCAACTTTGGCTTTCTTTTTCAATATTCCTTTGGCTATTTGAGGTCTTTTCTGGTTCCATATAAATTTTAGGATTATTTGTTCCATTTCTTTGAAAAAAATGGATGGTACTTTGATAGGAATTGCATTAAATGTGTAGATTGCTTTAGGTAGCATAGACAGTTTCACAATATTCATTCTTCCAATCCAGGAGCATGGAACATTTTTCCATTTCTTTGTGTCTTCCTCAATTTCTTTCATGAGTACTTTATAGTTTTCTGTGCATAGATTCTTAGTCTCTTTGGTTAAGTTTATTCCTAGGTATCTTATAGTTTTGGGTGCAATTGTAAATGGGATGGACTCCTTAATTTCTCTTTCTTCTGTCTTGTTGTTGGTATAGAGAAATGCAACTGATTTCTATGCATTGATTTTATATCCTGACACTTTACTGAATTCCTGTACAAGTTCTAGCAGTTTTGGAGTGGAGTCTTTTGGGTTTTCCACATATAGTATCATATCATCTGCAAAGAGTGATAGTTTGACTTCTTCTTTGCCGATTTGGATGCCTTTAATTTCCTTTTGTTGTCTGATTGCTGAGGCTAGGACTTCTAGTACTATGTTGAATAGCAGGGGTGATAACGGACATCCCTGCCATGTTCCTGACCTTAGCGGAAAAGCTTTCAGTTTTTCTCCATTGAGAATGATATTTGCAGTGGGTTTTTCATAGATGGCTTTGATAATATTGAGGTATGTGCCCTCTATCCCTACACTTTGAAGAGTTTTGATCAGGAAGGGATGTTGTACTTTGTCAAATGCTTTTTCAGCATCTATGGAGGTATCATATGGTTCTTGTTCTTTCTTTTATTAATGTGTTGTATCACATTGATTGATTTGCGGATGTTGAACCAACCTTGCAGCCCTGGAATAAATCCCACTTGGTCGTGGTGAATAATCCTTTTAATGTACTGTTGAATCCTATTGGCTAGTATTTTGGTGAGAATTTTTGCATCTATGTTCATCAAGGATATTGGTCTGTAGTTCTCTTTTTTGATGGGATCCTTGTCTGGTTTTGGTATCAAGGTGATGCTGGCCTCATAAAATGAGTTTGGAAGTTTTCCTTCCATTTCTATTTTTTGGAACAGTTTCAGGAGAGTAGGAATTAGTTCTTCTTTAAATGTTTGGTAGAATTCCCCCGGGAAGCCATCTGGCCCTGGGCTTTTGTTTGTTTGGAGATTTTTGATGACTGTTTCAATCTCCTTACTGGTTATGGGTCTGTTCAGGCTTTCTATTTCTTCCTGGTTCAGTTGTGGTAGTTTATATGTCTCTAGGAATGCATCCATTTCTTCCAGATTGTCAAATTTGTTGGCGTAGAGTTGCTCATAGTATGTTCTTATAATTGTCTGTATTTCTTTGGTGTTCGTTGTGATCTCTCCTCTTTCATTCATGATTTTATTTATTTGGGTCCTTTCTCTTTTCTTTTTGATAAGTCTGGCCAGGGGTTTATCGATCTTATTTACTTTAATTCTTTAGACATGATTTCCTTTAGTTCTCTGAACATTTTTATAATAAATGATTTAAAATCTTTGTCTAGTGAGTTCAACATCTGGCCTTCCTTAAGGATGGTTTCTTTTGATTTCTTTTCCCCTGCTGTGTATGAGCCATACTTTCCTGTTTCTTTTTGTGTCTCATAAACTTTGTTGAAAACTGGACATTTTAAATAATATAATCTGGCAACTCTGGAATCAGATTTCTCCCCTTTCCCAAGGAGGGGAAAGGGCAGAGGGAGAGGAAGAGAGATAATTTCAAGCAGACTCTGTGTTGAGCACAGAGCCTGACATGGGGCTCTATCTCACAACCCTGACATCATGACATGAGCTAAAATCAAGATTCGGACAATTAACTGACTGAGCCACCCAGGTGCCCCTGAGTAGACAGATTTCTTGAATCAGTAAGTCTTTCAGCTGTTTATGACACACTCTGTATGTGTGTGTGTTCATTTTGGGACAGGTGCTAATGCTCCTATGGATAGTTCACAACTCTGCCTTAGCCTTCATTTCCTGCTTGAGAAGAGCCTCAAATTTAACTAGAGATGTGATAATTGGGTCTTTTCTAGTCTTTCCCAGGCATATGTACAGCACTATGTATGAGACTGGCCTGGTACATTCCAAGGAATATTTTGGAGCTTTTCAAATCTCCCCATGGACATCTCATTTCCCTATTTTTGTCTTCAAGTTTTTTGGTTAGGATTTTGTTAGCCCCAGTTGGTACTGCTGCCTTTGGTAGCTGTGATGTTAAATAATTGCTCCTGATTGTTTTCAACAAATGCCCTAAGGGTAAGGTTACTATAGAGCAAGCTCTGGGTTTAGCAAAGTCAAGTCAAGTCCTGGGAATGGAGCTTTACAGGCAACTTCAGACGGTTCTCTGGAGATGAGACTTTGGGGAGCTTCAAACCTGTTTTGCTTCTACTCCCTTCAGTGATTACTATGCTGATTGTTTTCACAGCTACCATAATAGTGCATTTCTTGGTTTTCAAGGCTACTGAGGAGCTTGGGAGAGTGGTTTGGGAATAGGATAAATTAAAACAGCACAAAGTTTACTGTTTTTACTGATATTCAGCCATTTTTATTAGATGCTTCTTGAAACATTGTGAGTCTTAATTTTCAGTGTTTGGAAAAAGTGAATTTTGACATTTTTTGCCAGTGTTTCATTGCTTTTATGGAGGAAGAGATCATCAGAGGTCCTTCCTATAAAATTGCTTTAGAGTACTTTTTAAAGATGGGCTAGGGAAAAATACTAGTGACTTGAGGGAACTTTGAGGAAAAGTGAGCAGACTATTTTTTTATACAAATTATGTGTTATATATATTTAATAATATATTTATAAAAATATATAATGTGTATATTTGTTTTCATACAAATTATTGTATTATCCAAAGATAATTATTTGGACTGATATAAAAATAAGGTTGTGTTCCAGATGGAATTGTTTTAGAAGTCTAGATGCTTATGGGATCTTTACTGAATAGAAAAGTGAGAAGAATTAATTGTTTTCAAAAGTTTTCTTTTTCTCTTTCATTTTGCTATTTTAGGTGTACAGAGCCAATGGACTTGATGGAGCCATTGGCAGAGGCCAGAGAATCCATCTGCAATTATGGGACACAGCAGGGCAGGAGAGGTATGAGATCTTCAGTTATGTGTTCCTTACGGAGGGAAGGGAAAACCAGCTATGCCCTTCACACCATACCTGAGCAGGAAAAGGCCAGCTGATTAGTTGACTTGGACCTAGATAAGACATGCTGCTAATTTAGCAGGAAATCTATCAGTCTGAAATGATAATGATGTCTATTTCACACAAGGTCAAAGGAAAAATGAATCCTTTTCCAAATAGACTATCTTACTTATACAGTTTCTACTTCTTCCATCTTTCTCCTGTCTCCTCCTCCTTTCTCCTCCTCATTCCTCCTCCTCCTTCGTTTTGCTTGTTCTTGTTCTTCTTGTTCTTCATGTTCTTGTTCTTTAAGATTTACACACTTTTCTCTATTTACCTTTGCTGTTTACACAGCCACAAAGACAACTTCAGAATTACATGCATTATTCTTACCCGGTTGTTGAAACCTCACAGAAAATCTGATTAGAATTAAGTCATATGAAGTTGCTTGATCAAAATAAGTCGCATGAAATCGATATAAAATTTCTTTTAGTTATAGCTACTATTTTCTCTCACAGTTTCTTTGAAGTATTGTGTTTTTTATTTTTAAAAAAAAGATTTATTTATTTATTTGAGAGAGAGAAAATGTGTCAAGGTGGGGGAGGGGGAGGGTGTGAGGGAGAGAGAAACTTCAGCAGACTCCACACTGAGTGGGCTCAATCCACACTTGAATCTCAATCTCAGGATCCTAAGATCATGACCTGAGTCAAAACCAAGAGTTAGACACTTAACTGAGTGAGCCACACAGGCACCCCTGAAGTGTTCTGTTTTTTCACTTTTTCTTATGGAAATCTTCAAAGATATACTGCAGAGGATAGTATAATAAAATCGTGTACATATTTCCCATTTTCAGTAGTCATCAGTTTGTGGCCTATCTTATTTCATGTATACCTCCATCCCTCCTTACCCAACCCACCAAATTATTTTGAAGCAAATTCCAAATATCAGATGTTTTCATTTATAACTACTTTGGTATGTATTCCTAAAAGATAAGGACTCTTTTTGTAAAAATATTGATTAGAAATATTGGAGAAAACTTAAAAGATTAGATGACAATTTCATACTAGTATTTCTTCCCTGGAATCTCTGCTTGTCAGTTGCTGACTTTACATAAAAATAAAGTGGAAACTGACCTTTAGAGGGAGGGGAGAGATGGCAGGATTAAGCCTTGGAAGAGAGAGTACCAAGAAAGGATATGGACTGAGTCAATACTACTCCCACCTTAAAGCCAAAGAAAAGGTTATCAGAGTTATGAGACCTCTTTAGAGATTGCAATTAAAAGGTCATGGAACCCACTATAACATCAAGTCAAGCAGAACTTTCTCGGGATAAGGAAAACATACACAGCAAGAACCATTGCTTTAGGCCTATATAACTAAGTAAATTCATTTTTTTTTATTTTAGATTTTATTTATTTATTTGACAGAGAGAGACACAGCGAGAGAGGGAACACAAGTCGGGGAGAGAGAGAGGGAGAAGCAGGCTTCCGGCTGAGCAGGGAGCCCAATGTGAGACTCCATGTGGGGCTCGATCCCAGGAGGCTGGGATCATGACCTGAGCCAAAGGCAGACGCCCAATGACTGAGCTACCCAGGTGCCCCTTAATTAAGTAAATTCTTGACTGAGACTATGGGATCATGAGCCAGTTCTTGTGATCCCTGTCTAGCAGTCTGATTTTTCAAATCACATGGTCCATTAACACATAAACTTATGTAAGCAATAAATGTCTTACATACTTTTGGAATATCACCATCCAATTTGTTTTTTTAATTTTTAAAAATCTACAGAGACCATTTTTATTTTATTTATTTTTATTTAACTCTGGTATAATTAATGTACAGTGTTATATTCATCTTGGGTGTACAATAGAGTGACTTTGTATCTCCTTACATTTCTCAGTGTTCCTCATAAGTGTCCTCTTAATCCCCTTTATCTATTTCATCCTTTCCCCCTTCCCCTTCCCCTCTGGTATCCATCAGTTTGTTCTCTATAAGACTGAATTCCAGATACAACTTTGGTAATTGTTGGTGTTTTATGAAGTCTCAGTATATTTTCAAGTATTCTTTCTGACTTTAGATATCTATTTGGTAGCATAATTTGCTAAATCCTGTGTAATAAAGAGATACAATTTGCATGTATAATGTGAAGTTATTAGTAACAATGGCACGTTATTAAACATCTAATTTGTTATTGATGAATTATTGGAAGAGACTGAGGGCACTATTGGTAGTTTTATATTTCAGGAGTGGGGTCATAATTTAGCTGACCAATCTGCTTTTATGTTCCTAGGTTTCGTAGCTTGACAACAGCCTTCTTCAGAGATGCTATGGGGTTTCTTCTGCTTTTTGATCTGACGAATGAGCAGAGTTTCCTCAATGTCAGAAACTGGATAAGTAAGTGCTATTGTTTCCATCTCCCACTCCCCACTTCCTACAATACAGTGCTCTCTTAAATTCTACTTCTGTTTTAAATTGTTTTGGAGGAGCTCCTAGTACTATTAAAAATGCTGTTTAAAGGAGCAAGGGTTTTACTTTGTGGGAAAGATTACTGAGATATTCTGCTTTGCCTAGTAATACTAACTTTGATTTGTTGAGTAGTTCTTATCCTGGAGGCACATGGTAGCACTTTACATGTGGAAAACAGAGGATGCTCTTATCCCCATTTTATAGATAAAGAAACAGAAACCTATAAAAGTTAAATCTCTGAGTATCTGCTTGCCTATTTTATGCTGTCATAATTTATATCACCAGGGTGTAATACATCTATTACATAGACATAAATATCTTTTGAAGGCTTAGAAGATCATACCCCTGGCTCCATGTCTCTTCTTTACTCAGAGTTCCCTTTTCTCCTTTTAAGGCCAGGGAAGTTGCCAGAAGAATCTCATCATGGAAGACTCTAAAATTACATTGGCAAAAGTGGTCCCCAGTACTATACCCACACACAGAAACTCACGTGCACACAGACACTTATGGAAACACACACACACACACACCCTCATCTTGGCTCTTTGCAGAGATCCTGATCTCCCAAATGGTTGGTTAGCAGCCACTTAAAATCCTACCACTTAATCAGATAAATAACAGCTTGCAAACCTACATTTTTCTCCATTAGTTGTATTAGTGTAAACCCAGAGAATCTGTTGGGGAAGGCTGTGGTGTTAAATTCTTAACATCCAAATCCTTAAAATGAAAATACTGACTTAAAAATACCTACAATTTTAAAAATAACTTGGTGTTTTGGTATTACAATGGGGTCATTGGCTGTGGTTTTGATAGCCTTTTGGTTTGATAACCTTATTTTTAAGAATGAGTTTTTAAATAAGTAATTTACATGGTACATCGTGATTTTCAAAGCATTTTCACATACTTTGTACCTGATCCTCACAAGCACTGTGGGTGAAGATTCAGACAGGTGATGTGTCTTTGTTTTAGGATAAGGACTGTCATCAACCCATCTGTTTTCACAGATAAAAATGGAAACTCTGAGACAGATAAATCTTGCCTATCTGGACTTTTTAGCTGATTAGATAAATAACAAAATTATGTGAAATTATGTGTAATGTATACATTTCATTTTGTTATACTTAGAGTGTAAGAGAATTCTTACTGCACAATTAGGTAGAGAAAACTTACACATTTTGAAGATTTCATATCTTCAATGGAAAGTATTCTCCCCCAACCCGCCTTTGAAAAAAAAAAAAAGTTAGTGTTGAGGATCAAAGATAATAACATCAAATCTTCATTAGGAATAGTAATTTAATGTCTATACATTTTATTTCCCCCCTGCCTGTTAGCATTTTGAATATTATAGGGATTATTTATTTCTAACGTTTGGGGGGTGCATGCTAGAACAAAGGCACTATTGCCTTAAACAAGTAGCTGGCTCCTGGCCCTGAGTGGCCTGGGGAGAGGAGAGCAGGTCTGCACCCTTCCTTTGCAGTCTGCCTTGGCAGTCAGTTCTCCCTTGACTCCAAAGCTGTCCATACCCCTTGGAAAGGGGATACATGCAACTCGAAAGGTGAGCCCTGCTGAATTCAGAAGCCTGAACAGAGAGCTGAGTTCTCTCAGCCTGCTACATGGAAGGAATCAGGTAGTGTTGTATTCACTTACCTATCTTCCTAGAGCTCAGAGAATGAGCAAGTCATGCCCTTAGGTATTCCTCATTGAGTGGCAGCCTATTTTGTAAAGAAATTTTAAAGTAGTCTGAATTTCTAAACATTGTTTCTGTAACCTCATGTGAATGGTATAAAGAGCCCAACAGGTATATATTTTACATGTTTTTGCCTGTGTATTTTTATTCCTATAAAAAAAATATTGCCTGTCTGAAAAGCGGTCCCCACACTCACTCCCTCCATAACCACCCCTTTTAAAAAACTGGTTGGAGTTCTGCTTATTCTTTAAAATATGACAAATTATGGGCTCCATGAAATTTTCTGTAACTGTAGTTGGATTAAATTTTTTCCTTCCTGTCAACTGCTATTATATTTTGTACTACCTATAGGATTTTTAGTGGCTTTTAACCACTATGAGTTGTAGTAGTTATTTATGTATATGTCTTTTTCTTAGTGGGGTTTTTTAAAGAATTGATTAATTTGCTTTTTATATAACTAATTCAGTCTTTGTAGAAAAATTAGGAAGGAAGAAATAAAAGGAAAAATCCCCAATAATTGCACTTCCTGGAGTCTCCAAAATAAACAAATGCTATTAAACATCATTATTGGTGATACTTCATAGCACTTCTAAATGTTTTCACATATTAATGTAGTGGTTCTCAAGTATGAGTGTACATCTAGATCACCCAGGGAGCTTGATAAAACACAGATTCTGGGCTCCATATCCAGCATTCCTGATTCAGTAGCCCTGGGGTGCAACCTGATAATTTACATTTCGAACAAGTTTCCTGGTGATGGGAAGGTTCATGGACCATACCTGGAGAACCACTGAATTAACTCACTTAATCCACACCTTAACCCTGCAAAGTAAGTACCATCATTATTACCATTTACACACGAGGAAACGACTTCCTCAGGGTCACACAGCTAGTAAACAGTAGAGCCAGGATTCAGTCTAGGATACAGTCAGTCCTGAGTTCATGCTCATAATCATGACACTGGACATGTATGGGATCAATAGAACACAGAGCCACTCTGGAGATCGGAAAGATTTCACCATGGAGGTAACTGAGAGGCAAGTCTTAAAAAAAAGGGTGGAAATTCATGGAAGGAGGGTGGTGGTTGGGTATTCAAGCACATTGGAACAGCATGTGTACCATCTTGGAGGAAAGTAAGCACATGGCCATTATTGGAAACATACACAGTTTGGTTTTGCCTATGTAGGCCTTGTTCCCCAGCTGTCTCTTGAAGGCAAAGGTCAGGGCCCTGAAATTCTGTACCAAGTATCTGGCCTATGTTAATGACCACTGAATTCTTGCTGACTAGATTTTCTCTTGATAAGATATAATGAACATGACTTTGTAATGAGGAACTAAAATGTCAACACTTTTCTGGTTAACTATGATAAATAAATTAGGCCATATCAACTTTAAGGTATGTCTTATTGTGAAAATTTGGGCTGCTTTAATCTCATTATGAATAAGATGAATAAGAAATAAAGCTTTCTTTTACTTCTTTGGAGATTAAACTATTTAGCTTAATGAAGCTCTTTTTGTTTCATTGCTTTTTAAAAGTATGCCTATTTACAGGTTTTCAGGTGAAAAGAAATAAAAGCTGTGGAATAAGAATTGTAGTCTTCTGCTCCCCTTAGTTCTGGTGACAGTCATTTCCTGTTTATTCTAGAATGGTTTTCTCTCATTTAATCTTATATCTTTCTTATATTAATTCAATTGATTCTGCTTTAGGATAATAGAAAAATGTGAAAACATTTCAGATAGAAACAAGCTAGTTCATTCAAAAGAAGACAGTTCTTTTAAAAATATTGCTATGGGGAGACACCATATGAAAAATAGAGCTTTATGGTTAACAATAAGAACTAAAAATTCTCCCAAGTTTTTCTCAAATGGCCTTCAGTAGAGAGATAGCCACAAGGGTGTGCACACATTGTTGCTCACACGCACATGTGCACTATTAGAGGGTTAGCCATTTCTCCCATTCCTCTCTGATTTAAATAAGATGGGATATGTGTTTAAGGATAAGTTCTACATCTCTGCCCTGTCCATTCTGTTCTGCAGATTAGGTTACTGATGCTTTGAAAGCATTATATCATTTCCTTATGTCCGTATATCCACTTAAAGTTGGATATATCCAAAAGTTTTCAGAGCACATTTGCGTATATTCTCCATTGATCACACATATTATTTACCTATGATAATTTTTCATACAGGCCAGCTACAAATGCATGCATATTGTGAAAACCCAGATATAGTGTTATGTGGAAATAAGAGTGATCTGGAAGACCAGAGAGTAGTAAAAGAGGAGGAAGCAAGAGGACTTGCAGAGAAATATGGGTGAGTATTTTTGTGGAGGAATCTAGAGAAAACGTTTCCAAATCAAACAGTAGCACATGAATGGATAACAGGAGATGCAAAAGCAAACAGTTGAAACAGCACACTTAGATGTAGGCTTTGGGAAGTATAATATCTACTTTACATATTAATATTATGTGATAATGGGAACCCAAAGAAAAACACTGGGTGAGGGCCATGCCTCAATACCATTTTCTCAATCTCTTGCTGTTCAAAGACACCTTTGAGGGCAAATGCCCTAATTATGTAAGTTGCTTTCCCAAGATGCAAGTAGGAGATGTGTGGGGTAAGTAAATTCTCTCTATTCGGCAAGAAAATTTCGAAACCAGTTCATGTGCTGCTGTAGAGAGTCCCAGCATACAAGAAAAGGCCTATCAGCTTTGAAATTTCTGTGCTGGGAGAGGTGCATGAGCATGAAGATTCCCTTGGTTGTGTTTTTGTGGTGGAGAATCATCTAAATACTGTCTTCTTCCTTGAATTCTGGGAATAGGATCACAGTAGCATTAATTGGACATGAAAGAAGGGGGGTAGCCACTGTTTATTAAAATGTCAAGGGCATCTCTACAAAGGAATTTGTGCTTTGCTTTCTTTCTATCTCTAATACAATGAGAACCCAAGTGTGTATGTATTAATTACCCTTAATATAAATGGGAGGCAGTAAGTGGAGCTGAGAAGGAAGGGGAAGTAGAGAGAGAGAGAGAGAGGGGATGTTACCCAGCTCCTGGCCCTGGTTTTTAGGCAGAATCCAAGGAATCCAGAGGAGGACCTTTCTCTTTTTATTTTGTGACAACTGCTTTGTTCTTCTTTGGGCTGATGGAGGACCAAAGAACACTCAAGGATAGCTTTCACATTGGGAAGGGAATAGAAGGATTAGGTTGGCCAGGTGGGAAGAAGTCAGTGTCTAGAAAGTTTAGAATACCTGGTAAGGAGAGTTGCTGAAATCCTTTGAACATGGAGGGATGTGGTAAGTACTTCTCTAGATCAGTCTGGGAGAGGTGGGTGGGCTAATGTGAAGGGAGGAAATCCTAGAGACAAGAAGATTGTGGTGATCTGCTAGACGGGTATGAGCTGTATTTGTGGAAAAGAAAAAGGAATAAATTGGACAAAATAGGCAAGGGGGCGCAGAATAGGATTTTAGATCTTTTTCAATTCTAGGGGTGGGCAAGACAGCCTGGGGTGGTGGGGCGTATCTATTCCCATCAATTATACTAGCTCGCTCTGGCATATATTTGCAATAGGAAGTGAAGGTTTTCACTCTAGTGTAGATGGTGCTTAACCATGTTAGAAGCCTGAGGAGCTTTTAACAAATGCTTGTGTCTGGGCCTCACCTCTGAGCTTCTGAGGTCATTGGTCTGGAGTGGTTTTTCAGGTAAGATTCAGTGGAAGAAACATACATACGAAGGCATTTGTTATAGGTATTTGACCTTATGCACTTGTGGCAGCTGGTTAAGCCGTCTCTGAGGTGTTGACACTGAAACTTGAAGTCCACAGGTCAGGCAGTCAGGAAGGGAAGGCGGGTTTAAGGTGGGGAGAGCAAACACCAGCAAACACCACCTAAAGACCCATAATAACAGACTGAGACCTGCCTCAGGGTTTGTTGCCTCTGACCGGGATGGTCTGGGTATCCCAGAGAAGCCAGGGACCTTTGTCACAGGGCTAAGCACATGCACCGGGCCGAGGAGTTGGAGAAACTGAAGGAGGGTCTTGGGGAAGGTGGAACAGGTCCAGGTCCAGGTCCTGGTTTATGCAACCACACAAGCCAGCAGCTAAGCAACGAGGTATGAGAGCTACTGAATGGCTGCAGTGCCACCTCCACTCCCTCCGCTCCCCCAGATCTCTCCTGTGATCCACCCTAACTGGAAAGGAAGTTCTGGGAAATGTTCAACCGAACCGAGTTAACATGTTACAAAACCCTGCAGATGAGGGCCTGGGCATCGGTGTCTCGTAGAAACTCTCCGCATGATTGTCAGGTTAGAAGTGCCCGGGAGCTTTCAGCAAATACCTCCTGAGCTTTTGACACAATGCGCCTGGAGTAGTGATTCTGAGGTGGAGGCTGGCAAAGCCCCACAGGCCATTCTGATATGCTCTTCTATCCTTGAGAGGCACTCCGGTAATGCAGTAGGAAGGAAAGAGGGAGGGCTAGATACCACGGAGAGTACCTAAGTGTCGAAACTGGGAGCTGGGAGCTATGTTGCAAGGGGGCGAGGAGGAAGTAAGTGATGAAGCAATGGAAACTGTGGATGCAGACCATGCTTTTGAGAAGTATGTTAGTGAGGCCAAAAGAAATAGGGCATCTAAGGGAGTTAGCTAGATCCAATAATTGTGTCCCCAAGTACCAGAGGGGAGCCAGGATGGACTGCTCCCCTCACCTGGTTTCTTCCGCCTTTTGTTTGTTTCTTCCCTTCTGGTTCTCAGGATTCCACTTCCTGCTTCATAGCAAAGAGCCCAACTTTGCCTTCTGTCTGTAGGTGGAGTCTGGGGGGGGCCAGGGAATGTCTTTCATCTGTTCCCAGCTCACAAGGTCTGGGGAGTACTTCATAAGAGAGGTTCAATCTCAGGTTTCTGAATTCAGTTAAAATGAGAGAAGGCATTTCTATTGGCAAAGAAAGGAAAGAGAGAGAAACTGAATTTCCTTAGGAACTAGGAAGCACAGGGTGCCTGGGTGCTCAGTCATTAAGCGACTGCCTTTGGCTTAGGTCATGATCCCAGTGTTCTGGGATCAAGTCCTACGTCGGGCTCCCTGCTCAGCGGGAAGCCTGCTTCTTCCTCTCCTACTCCCCCTGCTTGTATTCATTCTCTCACTGTCTCTCTCTTTGTCAAATAAATAAATAAAATCTTAAAAAAAAAAAAAGATTAGGAAGCATAAAATATTGTTCTGCAGACACTTGGGTGGCTTAGTTGGTTAAGTGTTCTACTCTAGGTTTCAGCTCAGGTCGTGATCTCAGGGTCGTGAAATCAAGCCCCGTGTTAGGCTCCTTGCTGGGCATGGAGCCTGCTTAAGATTCTAGCTCTCTCCCTCTACCTCCCCCACCACGTACAGGCATTTGCATGCCCTCTCTCTCTCAAATAAATAAATCTTTAAAAAATACTGTAAGCTGTTTGATCATTTCAGAAGCAAAAAGAAACAGTTTAGTGCATATGCATTTCACAAACCTGACATGTAAGTTTAATGATTATTTTCACAGATTTTTCTCATTTTTAATCATAATATTTTCATTGATTGCACGTGTACTAAAGGGCTGTGTTGGTCAGTTCATCTCCATGCTAGTAGTGGTAAAATAGAATAAGGTTTATGGCGTCTCTTTGCATTATTTGTATATTGTCTGATAAATTTGCATTTTGTTACTATTGTGCACCTTTTCCTCTCCAGTACCTAAAAATGAATCATTGGTTCATAAGTGCTTCTCTTAAATATACATGCACTTGAAGAATGAAAGTCAGTGTCTCAGAAAAACTTTGCAAACCTAATAAAGAACATGTTATAGTACAAATATGAAAAATAAATCTGTCTTTGACAACAAGGAAATCTGAGAATAAGACTTTCGTGCAGGAGCCAGAAATGGAAAGGGTGAATTACATGTATGATGAAGAATATCAGAAACTGTGCTGTGTTTAGTAGACTAAGAATCCATTTACATCTAATTCCTTTTAATTTTCAGGTTTTTCTAGAACAAGGGCAAAATAATGCTTTCTAGTATGTTATATTGAGTAATATTGTCAATGAAGTCAGAGAAAGGAGCAAAACAGGTTTGCCCAAACTTGTCCTCCTGCCAGTCAAAATAAGGATGGTCTACACTGTTACCAAAACACTTTAAGAAAATAGCTACAAAGTAAAACATGTTGGAAGGGCAAACAGAACCAGCATTGGCAACATTCCTCTTTGAGGTGATACTATTGGATCTCAAACCTTAGTGTGTTTCAAAATTGCCTGAACTCTGACTCCTAAGGAATTTCTGATTAGTGGCTCTGGGGTAGAACCCAGAAATTCGTTTCTAACTGATTCCCTCCTGCAGGTGGTTGAAGGTAGTGCTTTGAGAACCAATGGCATGCGTATCAAGTTACTACAGGTGTGCACACTGGCAGATACTTTTGTTGATGGTATAATTGGATAAATCATTAGAGAATATGAAGCATTGTCTAATGTGCCTTGCATGGGTGAGGGAAATGTGCTTAATGACTCATCACTGGAAAATCCATGTTTGAGGAGGGAGGATACTTTTTCTCTCAGTTGATTAAATCCGCTGTAATATAGACTGGAACTGGACACTGGGATGGTACTGAGGGTATGCCAGCCATAAGTGAGCAGGCAAGGACTTGGTGAGTTAAAAACGGCTGCATCTAAATGCCCTCTCAGTCTTCTTTTCTTACACAGGATAGTTGGTGGTCATTACAAGCCTTTCCATTTTTGATTCTGAGTTGAAGGACATACAGAAAATTGTGAATACGATGAAACCGTGATAATTGAATGTGTACATATTTCATGTGCTATACAAAGGAATGGGTAGAACATTTTTTAAAATTGAGAAATAATTGATATATAACATTGTATTAGTTTTAGGCATACAGTGATGATTGGATATATGTATAGATTGCCACCACAATAAGTTTGGTTAATATCCATTAGCACATACAGTTATAATTTTTTCTTTTTCTTCAAAGATTTATTTATTTATTTGACAGAGAGAGAGCAAGCATACAAGCAGGGGGAGCTGCAGAGGATGAGGGAGAAGCAGTCTTCCCGCTGAGCAGGGAGCCCGATGTGAGGGTTGATCCCAGGACCCCAGGATCATGACCTGAGCCAAAGGCAGACTCTTAACTGACTGGGCCACCCAGGCGCCCCAATTGTTTTTCTTCTGATGATAACTTTTACGATCTACTTTCTTAAGGGCAGCAAATTTAAGATGACTTTTTCCCCACTGAAGCATGGTGCCTGTTGATGACGAAGGTGTTCAAGAGTTTCTGGATTAAAGAACGTGTTAAAA